CCAAAAAAAAAAAAAAAAAAAAAAGATTTGGTTGGATCTATGCCATATCTAACAATGGTTTTAGGATTGCAATAGGACTAAGTGTGACTTTTACCCTCTACATAAGACATCCCTGTGTTATTTGAAATTTTCTTTCAATAAGTATGTCTTGCTTTTGTAATCAGAAGTATAAATGTATACATTTTAAGCCCAAATAAACAGTTTCACACTATATCAGTGGTTCCCAAGGCAGCTGGGGAAGAAGGGTGAATTTACATGATTGCTGGAGAGGAAAAAAAATGGTAGAGCTGGGGCTGGTATGGTAGGCAGAATTCTAAGATAGCCCCCAAGTTTCTTGCCACCTTGTGAACACACCTCAGTTATTCAATCAAATGCTAACCTAGGTGTGGCTCTCAGAAGATTTTCCAGATATGGTTAAAGCTTTTAATCAACTGACTTTAATATAGGGAGATTATTGTAGCTGGGCCTGACCTAATCAGGTGAGCCTTTAAAAGAAGTCAGAAGTCAGATTCAAGCAGAAGAGATTCTCCTGCTGCCCTTGAAGTAGCGGCAACCAAGTTGTGCATCACCCATGGCAAGAACCTGAGAGTGCCTTCTAAGAGCTGAGAGGGTCCCCAGCTGACAACCACAAGATAGCAAGGACCTCAGACCTCAACCACAAGAAACTAAAATTCTTTTTTATTTTTTTGAGACGGAGTCTCGCTCTGTCACCCAGGCTGGAGTGCAATGGTGAGATCTTGGCTCACTGCAACCTCCACCAGCCGGGTTCAAGTGATTCTTGTGCCTCAGCCTTGCAAGTAGCTGGGATTACAGGTGCCAGCCATCATATCCAGCTAATTTTTGTATTTTTAGTAGAGATGGGGTTTCACCATGTTGACCATTCTGGTCTCAAACTCCTGACCTCAAGTGATCCACCCACCTTGGCCTCCCAAAGTGCTGGGATTACAGGTCTGAGCCATCGCACCCGGCCAAGAAACTAAAATTCTATCAAAACCGAAATTCTGTGAACAACCAATGAGCTTAGAAAAGTATTCCAACCCTCAGAGATCACAGCTTTGGCTGATACCTTGAATTCAGCCTGATAAAACCCTGATCCATTCTTGGACTCCTGACTCAAGGGAATTGTGAGATAATAAATGTGCATTCCTTTATGTCAATGATTTGTGCTAATGTGTTACACAATAATAGAAAACAAATACAGTTGGTATTGAGAAATAAATTGCTTTTAACCTGCAACCTGACATTCTTGTCCCCAGCCTGATGCTTAGGAGTTAAAAAAATGTATATATGTTGAGAAGTGGAGGAAATGCTGTACTATCTGATAAGTAACTAGGTAATGATATAAAACTTGTATCCATATGACTGTATGCCCTCAATACCATCTTGCCCACAAATTAATTTTTCCTCATGACTGTAAGTGACTGTGCAATTGCCTTGACAACATTGACCTTTCCAGAAATATTTTTATCAGTCTTTGCTTTAGGGATGTAACTAATACTGGCCATGACCATTTGCTGTTCCTCTGTCAGTCATAGTTGTTGCAACCCTGTAGAACTTAGGTGGACTGTTTTTTTTTTTTTTTTTTTTTGAAACAGAGTCTCACTCTGTCGCTCACTGAAACCTCTGCCTCCAGGGTTCAAGTGATTCTCCTGCCTCAGCCTCCTGAGTAGCTGGGATTACAGGTACCCGGCACCACACCTGGCTAATTTTTTTTTTTTGAGACAGAGTCTCACCCTGTTGTTCAGACTGGAGTGCAGTGGTGCAAGCTCAGCTCACTGCTACCTCCTGGGTTCAAGCAATTCTTCTGCCTCAGCCTCGCAGGTAGCTGGGATTACAGGCGCACACCACCACGCCCAGCTAATTTTTGTATTTTTAGTAGAGACCAGGTTTCACCGTGTTGGTCAGACTGGTCTCGAACTCCTGGCCTCAGGTGATTCGCCTGCCTTAGCCTCCCAAAGTGCTGGGATTACAGGCGTGAGCCACCGCGCCTGGCTAATTTTTGTATTTTTAGTAGAGATGGGGTTTCACCATGTTGGTTAGGCTGATCTCAAACTCCTGACCTAGTGATCCACCCTCCTCAGCCTCCCAAAATGCTGAGATTACAGGCGTGAGCCACCGCGCCCGGCCATTAGCCTCTCTTCTGCATGTGCTCTCAGTGTCTTCCCTTAACCAACCTCTGTGTTTTCTTCCTCCCTTAATTCCTTATAGTCTCCGTCATGTTGGCAAAATCTGAAGTTGTGTCCTCTAAGAAAAAGAGTCTCAGACTCTTATATAAAGCCTTTTCTTTTTTTTTTTTTTTTTTTTTTTTTTTTTGAGACAGAATCTTGCTCTGTCGCCCAGGCTGGAGTACAGTGGTGTGATCTCCGCTCACTGCAAGCTCCGCCGCCTCCTGGGTTAACGCCATTCTCCTGCCTCAGCCTCCCTAGAAGCTGGGACTACAGGCGCCCGCCACCACGCCCTGCTAGTTTTTTTGTATTTTCAGTACAGACGGGGTTTCACCATGTTCGCCAGGATGGTCTCAATCTCCTGACCTCGTGATCCACCCGCCTCAGCCTCCCAAAGTGCTGGGATTACAGGTGTGAGCCACCATACCCAGCCTCTTGCTGATTTTAAATACCATTAAATGTTAACTTTAAATTACATGAAATGTTAACCTGTTATGGCCAGTTGTTTTTTCATTTCTGTACACCACCAGCCAAAATAAAATTTAAGAATGTTTTATTCAGAGAAAAGGAAATTACATCAGAAACTGCAGTGAAGTATGGAATTGAGGATTTTTTTTCCCCTTTCCTTTAGAGTATGAAGCTGAGCAGCCTCCCTTTCCAGAAGGATATAAAGTCAAACAGGAACCTGTGATTACTGTAAGTATTACCCAGGCCTCAACCTAAGCAAGAAGCTCTTAAATGAGAATAGCACTGATGGCCTGTGAATGTCACACAGCGTCACTGAGTTCAGGAGGTGGAAAAGGGAAGGCATTGGAGCGAGAACCAGAAACTTGGGGCCAACCCCAGCTCTAATACTAACAGTGTGACTTAGAGGGCATCACATAACCTCTTTGAGCGTTAGTTTCAGCATCTATCCGTCTATCTGTTTGTCTGTCTGTCTATCTGTCTGTCTGTCTATCTATCTATCTATCTATCTATCTATCTATCTATCTATCTATCTATCTATATCTTATCTATCTATCTATCTAATCTATTTTTGAGACAGGCTCTTGCCCTGTCGCCCAGGTTGGAGTGCAGTGGCACAAACTCAGCTCACTGCAACCTTAGTAGCTGGGACTACAGGCACCCGCCACCATGCTGGGATTTTTTTGTTGAGATGGGGTTTCACCATGTTGTCCAGGCTGGTCTCAAACTCCTGACTTCAAGTGATCTGCCTGCCTCAGGCTCCCAAAGTGTTGGGATTACAGCCGTGAGCCACTGCGCCCAGCCAGATTTCTGTATTTATTAAATGGGACAGATAATCCTTGACTAACTAACAGGGCTTCTGTGGTACTCACATGAGATCCTGGATGAGAAAAGCCTTTGCAGTGGATCTAACACCATGTCCATGTGAGGGGCAGTTGCAGATAGACCAAGTTTCTCTGCATGCCAGGGTAGACAAGATGAAGACTGTGCTAAGGAGAGAGGGCTAATGACAGGGCAGCCAGGAAGAGAGGCCCTCATGAAGTCTACCTTGGAATTAGATAGGAGCTTGATGGAGTTTGAATTTTTTAAAAAGCAAGGCTCTGAGAGATGAAAGGACTTGAGCGTGGTAACACGGATGGAATCAAAACCTGTTTCTCGACTTCTAGTAACTTCCATCACTGCAGCTGCCTGTGACAGAGACATTGTGTCTGAAAACTTTATTCTGTGATTGTTCTTTTTCTCCTAACATCCTGTTTTTGCTTTATGGATGCAATTCTTTTTCAGATTTCTCTGCCGATACAAGTCACAGTTCTCTTCCCTGAATTCTCTGTGCTTCTTCCAGGGTCAGCTGTTGTGACAATAGATGTTGATCTTTGTCTTTTGTGCTATGATCTTCTTGACCTGTATAAAGAGATTTGATTGTTTATTTAAAATGTACAATGGTCCTGAATGGATTTTTCTATATAGCTGGTATATTAGGGTTCTCCAGAGAGACAGAATCAGTAGGCTATATAAGAGAGATACGTATATGAGAGGGGATTTACTGGGGTAATTGGCCCACATGATTATGGAGGCTGAGAAGTCCCACATTAGGCTGTCTGCGAGCTGGAGAACCAGGGAAGCTGGTAGAGTGACTCAGTCCAAATCCAAAAGCCTCAGAGCCAGGAAGAAACAACAGTGTAACTAGCAGTCTGAGGGCCTCTGTTTATGATATACGACAGGGTTACATGGAAATCTAGTTGGACTTAATTAGCCTCTGAGAGCCCCCAGGAACCACTGATGAGAACCCTGGAATCTAAAAGCCAGAGGACCTGGAGTTCTGAGGTACAAGGGCAGAAGAAGGGCGTCCTGGCTCCAGAAGAGAGCAAGAATTCAGCCTTTCTCAACTTTTTGTTCCTTCCAGGCCCTCAGCCAATCCAGTGGTGCCTGCCCACATTGAGGATAGATCTCCTCTCAATCCACCAACGTATACACTAGTTTCTTCCAGAAAACGCTTGCAGACATACCCAGACATAATGCTCTGCTAGTTACCTAGGTATCCCTTACTCCAGTCAAGTTGACACTGAAAATTGACCATCACAGTATCACGGCTGGTGTGGTTTTCTCCTACTGCTGTACATGTGGGTTTGTTTTCTGGATGGGTCTCTTCTATGAGTAGCAAAACGCTGACTGAGTGCTCATGAAGGGTGGTTGTCCACTGGCCAACTGTTCTTCAGAGTGAACAGGCAGAAAGTCGGTATTTTGGGATTGGGCGTCAGTGGCAGGGGGGTCTCTAAATCAATTTTTTTTTCTTTGTTTTTGAGACAGGGTCTCACTCTGTCATCAGGCTGGAGTGCAGTAGCGCACTTCCCCGGCTCCAGCGATCTTCCCGCCTCTTCCTGCCAAAGTGCTGGAACTACAGCTGTATGCCACCACTGCCAACTAATTATTTTTTAATTTTTGTAGAGATGAGGTCTCACTATGTTGCCCAGGCTGGTCTCGAACTCCTAGGCTGAAGCCATCTGCCCTCCTTGGCCTTCCAAAGTGCTGGAATCACAGGCATGAGCCACCACGCCCAGCCCAATTTTTTCTTTTTCTTTTCCTACCATCTTGGTGCCCTAAGTGGTTCTAAGTGTTCTACTCCTTTTCAGGTAGTTTCATTGGTTTACAGAAGAGTTCCTGGAGAGGAGGGCGAGCTGGAGATCCAACTGGTGTGAACACAGCTTTATGATATTGAGGGAACAGAAAGTAGCCTGAGGGGAGTGTGAGCAGCAGGCCAAGTTAGCCCAGCCGGATTTCCACCCAGCCTCGTCGTGTGTCATTCCATTCTTGTTCCCACCCTGTACAGTGCCTGTCAACTTGAGTGTTTAGTCCCTTTGGGATCTGATGGGAAGGTGGACGTCTATATTCTGGGGCAGCCTCCTCCTGTGACTGTTACTTCCACTCTTGCTGCTGCTGCTTTTTTTTTTTTTTTTTTTTGAGATAGACTTTCACTCTTGTTGCCCGGTCTGGGGTGCGATGGTGCGATCTCAGTTCACTGCAGCCTCCATCTCCTGAGTTCAAGCAGTTCTCCCCTCTCAGCCTTCCAAGTAGCCGGGATTACAAGCGCCCGCCACCACGCCTGGCTACTTTTTTGTATTTTTAGTAGAAACGGGGTTTCACCATGTTGGCCAGGCTGGTTTTGAACTCCTGACCTCAGGTGATCCTCCTGTCTCAGCCTCCCAAAGTGCTGGGATTACAGGTGTGAGCTTCTTGCTTCTTGAGTGAGGCTTCATCCCTGGTGTTTTGGATATGTTTACCAATCTCTCATCCGCAGATGGTCCTCCTTTTCTCTATCACAGGTTATGCCTTGTCGTTTATAGGTGTCTCAGGAGGGAAGGGAGACAAAGATCTGTGCTCAGTGTACCCCCTTGAACCTTAAAGTCTGATGTAGAATTTTATTCCTTCATAAGGTTATAGAAGAAAATACAATTATTTAAGCTGTTTGAATGAATTGCCTCCCCTCCCCTGTCTGCCTCCAGGTTGCACCAGTAGAGGAAATGCTTTTTCATGGCTTCAGTGCAGAGCACTATTTTCCGGTTTCCCATTTCACCATGATCTCACATACACCCTGTCCTCAAGATAAATCGGAAACAGTCAACCCAAAAACATGTGAGTAAGAGAGATGCCATCTTTTATAATTTGGGGCTTTTAACATTGCAGAACCACAGGGTGGGTATGGAGGCGGACAGATAGACTTCAGGGAGACCACATACATAAGAAAGAATGTGTTTTTGTTTTATTTTTAAGAGAATGTCCTTCATTTCACTGATTTATCTTTAAGGTTAAAAATGTAATTAAGATAATAAGTAACAAAAAGTGTACTTTGATTTTACATTCAATAAAAAGTAGGAAAAGAGAGCAGTAAACAAATGTAGCCGGCTGTGATGGCTCATGCCTGTGGTATCAGCACTTTGAGAGACCAAGGCAGGAGAATTACTTGAACCCAGGGAGACCCCATCTCTACATAAAATTAAAAAATTAGTCAAGTGTGGCCTGGTGTGGTGGCTCATGCCTATAATCCCAGCAC